TAAATAGTCAGAAATGACCGATCGCGCAAAAAACTACATTACTTATATATTTATGTTCCGGATCCACCTTTTTTTCGATGACTCTTATCTTCTAGATTCTAAAAACAATATTGCGTAATTTATATAGCGGGTATCGTTTCATTATTTTTTTCGACAAACTAACTGTTTCAAAAATGCACCTTTTTTACCAGTGCATCTACATTCGCCTCCAATGTACCCGAGCTTTTAGATGTGATAAAGTTGCTCTTGTCTATACTATAATTAATAATAAATCATATAATTAATATAATTAATAAGTTTGTCACATTTAAGGTCATTGTGTACAGATGTAGCAAGTAGCATTAACAGAAAAGGAAACTTGGTAATTTTTTCCAAAAAATGTGTTCTCTACACATGAAAATCAGTCGGCTAACTGCCGAAATATGATTTCACACCCCGACCAACTGTCAAAATTTGACCCTGAACCCGGGCCAAACTGCCGAAATACCTACCACTAGCCAACTGTCAAAGTATGACCCAGGCCAACCGCCGAGATATTTTCACACAAAGAACAAATTTTATGTAATATGCAAGAACTGGAGTGGTGTTAAACAGAATTCAGCGCATGCAAGGCACTGGACAAGAAAATGCATATAATTTCCTATGCAGTTTCTAGTAAAAGAACTAATTAGAGAAAATGTTTAGTATCATACCGGATTTAGCACAATATCGCACAAGAAAGAATAATAAAGGATGCATGGCGTATATACCTATCAAAAACTGCAAAATGATTTTTTCTACGTTGTGCCACTGTTGCACAATGCCCTCACTATAGGGTAATATATTCGCAATCAATAAAGTTCTTGCAAAATGCGTTATTGTGACCTCTAGAAGGGGACAATAACCATTTATTGGCAATAGTAAAACCAAGTTTAAACATTTATCGGTATTTTCCAAAGCACTACTCTCGCCAAGATGCCCAATAGCATATATAGTAGTCTATAAGGCAATAACTCATAATAAATGTAACAGAAACGGCCACGAAATCCCATAAAATTTTGGAGTAAACCGCCCAGCCTCATAGTAGTAAAAGGCTGCGTAACTGTTCTTTATGATTAGAGGAACGGCAGTGGCGTACACTAAAAGCGTGTTATACTTAAGGGATTAGTGTCTTGTATATATATTATTTTTTTCATATCCGTACACTTCGGCATTTACGTAGCAGTAAAAGTGAAGAAGGTTCTTCGGGATTAAAATTAATAACCGCGCTATAATTTTATCGCCTGACGTATGGATCGAAAAAGGTGCGTAATCTCGTCAGTTCAGCTACTACGAAAACAATAACCAAGCAAAGTAGGGGGCAATTTCCATTCATGGCGAAACTCACAAGCCACAAGAGACCAAAAGAAAATTAAACGTCGGATTCTGAGCCAACGTAATAAAACGTTCTATGGGTAAAGTCAAAGGTGAATGACGACCAAGCACCTGCGGCATGCCACCGCGACGCCTTGGAGTATGTGTGCTTTCGCTATTTGTATTTTAAACGTGAGCATCCAACCCCCCCCTCCTTCGCTCTGCCCTTACTTTAAATGAACAACTGGAAGACGCGTTATTTTTCCGTTTTTATTCCGAAACAGTAATCTTTATAAAGCAACAACCTGCTATAAAGAGTCACTAAATCTCAGGCTCAACAAATAATATAAAAGCTCTCAGTTCGCATTAATTTCCTTACCTATCCAAAAATTTTACGAGCGCCTTAAATTCGCAAAATAAATGGCCGGAAGAACTTACTCTGTTTTTTCAACATAATTCCGCAAGTATAATACGTTAGAGGAGATGAATTCCTGTGTATTTATCTGTAGCCCAAGGCAATCGAAGCAGTAAACCTCATCTAAGCCGCATTATAAGTTTTGAGTACACTTTTCTTATAATTAATGAGGAGAATTTTGGATAACACAAATTTCTGGAAGCATAACTTTGGCGGAATTTCGTAATCAAAGACACGACGGCTTCCCTAACAATTAAAGATCCGCGGTTCTCACGTTTCACGATACAACGATACGAATACCGCACACGTACGTTACGATGCTCTTGGAAGTGTTCTCTAAAACTTGAGCTTTTACGCGTCTTCTGTAAGTTGGATGTGGACCAAATCTTGTTAAATCTAATCTAACTCTCGGATAGCGGCGGCTCCTGAATAAGGAATAACGCGGTGTACCATGCATGCCGAAGTAAAATTTTACCACCTCACGCCAAAATACATTCAATTAGATTTATTCATACACGTTTCTTTAGTAATTAAATAGCCTCACCGAATGAAAAGTGGCTTTAATAAATAATTTTTGCAGGAAAGAAAGCGGCTAATGTAAATTCAATTAACGAGTACTCAAATATAAATAGAAAAACAAATTATTTATGAGATTTAATTTGTTTTCATTAAAAAACCGGAGAGGCTCGGAAAGTTTTCTAATAAATTGCGTGTGAAGTGATCTTGACATTAGAACCGTTAAGCAGTAAGTGCGTTTTGTTTTCCCCAACTTCCGGGGAATTTTAATTCGGGATGCGCCGACGGGCGGATTATTTATAAACAGATACAGAGGTGTAATCCAAATACGACGCCACATATTGGTAGGCTTAATGTGTGCCATATGAAACACATCTTTGCTTAATCCACTAGAATGGAAGATACGTTCAACAATATTAAAGCAACCTTATGAGAAAAGTCGGTATTATTGCAGTTATAAATATACTTCCAACGCGATTGGTCGATTCTTGTTGGATATTGCTATAAGAGAAAGTAGAGATACCTGTAGGCTTCATGGTACAATTAAGGTTTCAAAATACGCTCGCGACTGCTTCCCGAGGGTAAACAACTCAAGATTGAATATGAAAATTTAATCAGGTAATTTCATAGGGGATGATGCTTCAATGCTCTTCCGAGAAATTGTGCCCGTTGCTCCTTTGCTTCACTATGTAACAATTTTAGAAAATGTAATTACGTCAAAAATTACTTATAATCTCAAATTAGCTAATACTAATTCGTATTTTCCCTTCGCCAATTTATGAAATAATAATCTTCAACACGCTTCCACCTTAAGTTTTGAGGGCGGGAGTAATAATAATCGGAGAACGGATCGCAGTTATGACGTTCTGTGATACCCAGTATATAGACATATACGTACAATTTATTTATGCGTCGTTTTTAATTAACCAGATCAGTGCGTTACAGATTTTAGGTCACTTACATTAACCAATTTTATTCCAATTTGAATTTAACACTTATTTTGTTGTAATCTCCAAATTAAACGTTAACAAACGTGCAAAAGTTAAAATAAATGAAACTTTAATCAACACAAAAACGAAAAATTAAATTTACTCCTCCGAGATGTCGCAAATATGTCACGTACATTTCTTAATCTCTCTCCTACTCATTTTGGTATACCACTTCACTCTTATTATTTCTTTTTCTGGTTATTTTAGCATGTCAAACTCGAAATAAAATTTTGTTACCTTCGCCCTCTGACCTCTGACTACACAACTGCTATCTGAAATATTTATATGTAACGTCAAGCTAGTCTACAGATCATAATGGAAACTCTGATTTATTTTAAAGTAGCAATCGACCAATAGCAGAATTAGTACGAACTAAAGCCTGTGCCTATTCACTCACACTTTCCCGGTTGTTGTTATTACAATTAGTACCTAATTAATGCTTTTAATCTGGCAAACTGTAAAAAAAATAATTTTAGAGATTCGGCTTTAAAACCAATAAAACTTTCAGTATCTATAACACTCTACAGTAATGTTGAATCCACACAATGTCGGCCATGTTATTTGAATCTGCGGTCATTGTGTTTTGTATCAGATTGATTCGATGTTGATTTTGTTTAAATAATCGTTTTGTATATTTTGTTTAATTTATTTTAAGATGAATTACGTGTACTCGTAGATAGATACGGTTTAGGTGTTTTGTGTTTGTGCGTCTGTTTAAAGAGAATAGTAGTGATAACCCGATTTGAAGGATTAGCATTTTAAGGTAATTAAGATTTTTTTAAATTAATATGTTCAATCGATCGCTTGTGCGTGGTATTTGTCTGCGGGCCCTGAGCGCTATTATTTATTCAGATTTATTATTGATTGATTTATGCCGAATAAATTTGTTTCATCTGTAAATTATTACATTTATGTTTAATCGAGCTCAAAATAAGACCTTGATAAAAGTATTCATGCCAATTTCTCTGTTGGTTATGCCAGGTATTTAAATTAGGCATGTTACGGAAGTGGTTATATCGGAACCCAAACGCACTGATTGCCGCCCCTGTGCATCAACATTCGATATAACTAAAAATGTGTCGGAACTGAAATCTGAATTGCGATATTAATCAAGGTTTCTGAGCTTGCTCAAATTAATAAAATTAAAGTTCCATTGCATTTTTCCGACTAGCGGCTGCTGGAGGTATTCTAGAAAAATTATAATCAATTGGTATAAAAAGTTATGTTAGTACTTGTGTTTAATTGAGCTAGTTGGGCAGGTGATGGTTTAGTGACCGTTTGCCTTTGCACATAAGTAATATTGGCATGATGTATGCCAACTTAATGCCTCGTCGTCTTGCCCTCTTGCACCATTTACTCGTACGAAGGGTTTGAGTATATAATCACATGCTGATTTAATGGATTCATTTAAACATGTTGTTGCTCCTCCCCGCTCAACAAACATGAGCAAAATTTAAGAGCTCCAAAGGGAATTAAGTGCTAATTCAGTACCTTCGTTTTTACCCTGTACCTGTCGTTACACTGTAGTTTTTCGATAATTTTATTTTGATGCTTTTTTGAGAGTGTTAGTCTGAACTGGTACTTCAAGTGCTTGTCGGTGTGTCGCTGTGAGACTGTTAACATAGCTCGAGGATATACTCATTGGTCACAATAGAGGAGTGCAGAGCAAGAAGTTTGACAACAAGAGCAAAAGAGCTAATAGTGCAAATGTAGTTTGCATAAAGTTCTAATTTTTAAATTCCTTTCAGGTGTCGATCGGTCTTATCGTTCGGATGATACGGAGGATGCAATGACAACGGATAATCCAACCACCCCCTTTCCCACACCTCCACCTACATTAGTGTCGCCTAGGTCACCACTTCCCCATCATAGACAAGCATCACCGTTTCCCTTAGAAAATACGAACACGCGACGAATGCACTATGCAACCCCTCAAGACCGCTTGCGTGGGAATAATGGTACGTATATCAGCTTTATTTATGCAAGTTGTCCAAGTACAGTCCGCAATTCCAGGTGAAGTTATATATTCGAGTAACAAAAAGGGTATTGCAAATACGATAAACCGAAGTGGTAGAGGCCGGCACGGTAGAACGGGCGGTATGACATCTTCTAGTAGCGCAACTTCATGTAACAGCTGCACAGAAGGGGTTCGTAACGACGTCGCGTACCACGGAGATACTCAGCAGCGCCTCTGTTTAACTAACGGTAAGACAAAATAATGATAAATGAGTATGACACATACTGATACAACACCGATACAATGTGAAGGGGTAACCCACTCATCTCGCATAACATAATTAACACTCGAGTAAAGTTAAGTTAATGAGCGACAACTCGTAATTAGCTTAACACCGAATAGATTTGCCACCGTACACGTATCTCACATCAGTTAAATGAATTACGCGATTATCTCTAGCTAACTCAAATGCGAATTCAAGTGCCCCTTTCCAACGCGAAGTATCTAATACAAAATTATCCTTTGCTCAAAGGCTTTAGAAGTGCAAAAATGCCTTACGTCATGTACTCCATTAAAGCTTAAAGCTTTAGGGATGGAACTGTCGGGGTAACTTTATAATTAGATCGCAAATCCACTGTCCGCTGTCCGCCTCAATTTTATAATCCCTCTAGTGCATTCCCAACGTTGCGCGACGTAATTGTAAACATTGATAACCGCATTAATTAGGGAAAAGTTTCTCCTAAAAGCTAAATCGCATTTTTCTAGAAAATTATAGCTCGCCCTGCACTTGACGTGAAATGTTCAACATAAAACTAATTTATAACTTGATTGCAACTAAAAAAAAACTTTATCGTTAAGCCAACTGTAATAATTTTCTGTGATTAACGCGGAATGCTCACGATCGTGGTGTTTTAATTTATATCGACAAATAAAATCGAGTCTTTATTGTCTGTTCTGTTTTTTAATGGTAATATTGTGAACGCCATGTTGCAGTAGAAATAAAAAGGTTACAAACATCAACTATCTACTAATAAATTGAATTTATCGGCAATTAGGTACCCACTAAATTTATTGTCATTCGGTATCATTTGGTTAATGCGGAAGTTTATCTGATCTTTCAAATCTAATCGCACGAAATCGATGTAATTTACGAGCAAGTGCGCGGATCAGCAGCGCCACAAAAGTTGAAAATGTATAGAGCAAGATTGGCCTGAATTTAGCATCGCCGCTAAATTTGTTGGAAATGCAAGTGTATAAACCACCAATTAAAGGCCTTCATAGTAAATTACGGTAATGGTAAGAATTAGGGGGGGCATTCAACAGTCACACGTGCCTAATTAGGAACAGAACAGTTATGTAGTGTTTTTAAATTCGATTACGCAAGCTTTTACTGATGCTACTTTCCCGTTCTTGTTACGAACACTAAAAATCGACAAATCAAATTTTACAAAAAAAACTGTTCGAGAAAGTCAAACTTGTATATAAGGCCATGGTGCGAGGAGTGTTAGTAGTACATACATCATTTGAAAGCTCATTCCAACCTCCAATCTAATAGTAATTTAGTTTTAAGCAACTACCAGAAAATGCCTCAAAACGTGACTGCACCAGTTGTCGTGGTGGAAGATCCGCATTTAGAACAGTAAATGTGCCACATTCAACTAGTATTTTCATTGATTTGTTCGTTATTCCAATTAATCCCAATGAAATACATGTTCACAAAATGATAGATGGAAATGAGAAATAATAATGTAAAAAGTTCAACCATTGGTTTCCAAATTCCAAGGATTGATTTTCAGTTTCAGTGTAGCTACACTAGATCATCGGAAAAATATTGAACATTTTTAAACCATTGCTTTTGACATTACCATCAGGACTTTTTGTTCTGTAATTTTCAAAAATATTGAAAAAGCCATAAAACGCTAAACGGCTAAAATGACCGGATATGCTTATGATATTTATTTGTTCATAAGAGTTACTTAGATAGTTTTTCTCAAATTTAATACCATAAATTATTATAGAACCTAAAATATGCACTCTGATAGAGTAGTTTCGAGAAAATTCGCAATAAAATGCCCTTAAGCGGCATGGCCACCCGAAGTATCTTAAATGGTCCCATGGATTATGAACTACGTATTTTGTATGTTAATCACATTTCTAATTTTATTGCCATTACTATCAGAAATGGGCCAAAAGAGGCACACGCTGACTGTAGTGTTAAGATGTTGAATTTGCAACATCCATTACATTCAACTATACCTGCTATTTACATTAAGTTTGCGTTATCTTAAACCCAATGAAACAAATGATTCATATTGATTGATTTTTTTATTATCTTGTATTTATATATTCCACATAAACAGATATAAATACAAGGTGGTTACAAAAAGACATCTCTTAGATACAGAAGTTTATTGAGGAGACATGTAATTGAGGTGTCATCTTGTGAAAAAATACTTCAAGTTTCATTTACGTATTGTCATAGTACTGAATTCCGCAACTAGGAGGAAAAGTTTAAACAAGGAAGAGCAACCCTTTTGAACCAGTTCTTAAAAAGGGGTTGATCGAATCAACCACTTGGGTTTCTGCCATAGCGTACGTTCTTTGACCCATTAAACACCCAATTAAGTGTTCACTTGAAGACAATTAAAATCGGTAGCATAATTCTTACCTCAACATTACATACGTTTGAGGGGTCTACGACTCTTCGTAGTTGGATATAAAACTTGCTTGTACGCCACCATTCTACGGTATCCTAATAAACCTGATTCTTAGATGAGAAAAACTGTAAACTAATAACAATGCCACACCGAAGATGGAGTCATGTTATGTAATGGTGTCGGCCATTAACGCCAAGGGCTCACGGTAGGAAGAATATGGATAGAGCTCAGGTGCCGGCCATTTTGGCAAAGACATAACCTTACTCAGTGCAATAATATACCGGGTGATTCATTAGAAGTGAGGACAATTTGAATTTCCCGCAAATAAAAAAAATTATGAAGTTGGTACTAAGACTAACTGATGATAATTTATTTAATTGCAGTGGTGTATCATCATTCTTTCAGTAAATTGTTTACTTATTTATAATCTACCAATACTGCTTCTGTTTTACCACAAATTATAAACTAACACTAGACACAGTCATGTTTCTTACATATTTTAAAGCATCAACTCTAAAAATTGTGCAAAATGGAAAAAGTAACAAACCGTAAATGGCACACGACAATTATCGGCGACAGTGGTTTCTTAAATGACAGTCATGACAGAAAAAAATTACTAACGAAATTCAAACCGTCAATCTAATAATTCAAAAAAATACTAAAACCTTACGCGCGAAATTCAAGCGATCATCACTTCTAATGAATCACCCGGTATATAGGGCATGTTCAGGCCGTTCAGTGTTTATTTTCGTGTTTTCACCTTTAGCTAGGATATGACCTGTGTCATTGTAATAAAGAGTTACGGGTTTCGAGATCCATTCCGTAACATTTTTCATACAGCATAAAAATTCAAATATTCAGTAGTCATGAAAAATAATCACATTTGGCATTTATCTCAAATAAGATAGCGGCAAAATACCACTGCCATGAAATTCAACAAATATTAACATATTTCATATGCCCCCATATACAACAAACAAAAATAACCGACCCATCGTATTGCTATCTAAACAATGTCAATGTTGGACGTTGATATTTGGACCAAATTTAAGGCAGTTGATCGTGGCCATTATTTGCCATGAAATTTGGAAAATTTTAATAGGAGAGCTAGTTGGGTTTAAGATTTGTGTATGGTTGATTTTGGCTGGGTGCACATGGCACATAGCATTATTACTTACTCGCCCAACATAGGGCCTTGCATTTATTTTTTATGCGGCCCGAATGTTAGGGTCACAGCAGTAGGTATACAACAATCATCGTAGCTAAAAATAGTATTTGAATTCCAAAACCACCTTCCTGCGACTGTTTAAAATGTAAAAGACATGTGAAAAGTTGCATAGCACTCTAACTACGTACAGAAAATCTATCAGATACCCTAAATTATCTAAACTTCAATTGAAAGCCATCCATACCTATGGAAAATTCCATCTTAACTACTTACGTATCAAAAAATGCCCTAACTTGTATTAACACTCTGTACTAATCTACAACCTTCCGCTGACAAATAATCAGTCTAACTCCTGAGCAAAGCGGGATAAAAGCTAAAGGCGAATTTGTTGTTTACTTATTTTATCCTATAGCCTAACGATTAAAAGGTAGTGGTACAAAAACCTACCATAAAAATTAGTAAAAAAAATATGAGTAAATCCGGTGTCCGGGTTCGATCCTTTAAAGGAACTGTTTTGGATGTTGATACATTATCATTTTTATACAATATACATCTACGATCAGATTTACACAATCATCTATGCATTTATATTACCCAAAACGATAAAGGTAATCATCAAGCTTCATTGATTTTATTATAGGTGGTGGTGAAGAATCGCCTCCGGAACCCGCCCCACCCGAAGTGCCTCCCCGAGGACCATCTTTGCATTCCGCAACGCTTAGAAGAAGAGCTGAATATTCACTTCCGGTAGGCGAATCCGGTCCCGCTAGTCAGGAATCGCAATTCCTTTCGCAGGGCGGTAAGTCAAATTTTCAATTGCGCACGGCCTCTATAACGAGCCGCATATGTTCCATATAATCTCTCAGACGTAACCTGTCTTTATTGGGTCATTAGATTTAATTCGCATTGAAAAGAGGAAGGGTCATTTACTGTCCTGCTTTGAAATCAGGCGATGAATACTAATGCGAAGGGACCCCATGCCAGCTGTAAATTTTATTACTACTTAGTGGTGTATTAGTAGTGATTGGGACGATATTCCACCGTTGCGTGTCAGTTTTACGGTCGAACGTTGTGTGATATATCGAAATCTGGTCTGCTTTGGAGTAAACTATCTATTCTGTTAAAATATTTTCACACCCTCGTTCATTCATGTTCTACGAAACACGACGTAATCCGTTATGCACACATCATCACTCTTCGATTGTATGCAAATAACGTCATTACACTTTAAAAGAGACTTTAATACCGATAATGCATAATCTGCTACCTTATTTGTTCGCTTTTAGTTATTATGGCTCCTACTTTACCCCCGAGCATGCAATTTATTACAAAAAATTGAAAGTTTGCTTCGTTTAGAAAGAACCGCAATTTAACGGTAAGTGTGTAGATCTACGTTGCATTATCACTTTTTGAGACTGATCCCTAAAAGAACACTGTATACGTATTTCCTATATTCTTAACAATCGATATCTACAACCACAAATTAGAAGTTATAAAACATTTAATTATGCTAATTACTTTATTAGATATACATTTATTGGCTGTAGTAAATTGTTAATTGCCCTTTGCACTTTTAAGTAGATTCTCGTCAAACTATCATTTGGTTAAGCAAATAATTCACATGCAGTTCATTATTTGGTTAATTACCCTTTGACAAATGTCAGAGAAATTCTCAACGTCCAGTTTCTTTATATTTTTCCAGATGTTCATTGCGAATCTGAACACTAATTACAGTAATTGAACAATTTGCTTGTCAAATCAAACACCAAATTACCGTAACGTCCGTAACATTTTGAATATATTGATTAATCATTTACGATGCTCTCTATTTCCATCATTACCTTTTTACAAATTTCCTTAGGAAATTCTAAATAATTATATTGCAAAAGAAAAACTTAGCCAATATATTTTGAATTGAAAATTCTTAATTTACCTTAGAGCTGCGCAACAACAAAATACACCATGATATTCATTTTGTACCTAAACAATTTTGGTTACACAAACAGGATTAACACATGACTTTCTATTGAACATTAAAATAATCTCACACCAGAAAAAGCTTCCGGATCTTCTTCCAAAAACAGATTGTCCCGGATTGGTTATTCTTACGATAATAGAAATTTCTTTAACTTTTGATCAGGCGAAGGTCTTTTTATTCGTACGTTAATTACTCGTATCCCCTCTTTCGCCCGAAAATGCATGCCACTTGAACGTATTTAAATCGCGATGGAAAAACCGTTCCTTTCGAATTGTTTAGCGAAACACCGGAACTACTACTTTTTTGCCGTAATTACGACGCTAATTTTGTTCTTCTAGGCTACGTGTTTATTACTTTGGCTGCCAGAAGACTATATACTATAATTCTTAATTACTTAACCCAAAACAAAAAAGTGGCGAATTAAATTACATTGCGATATCTTAATTTCCTATTGGTTAGTGCTTTCTTTTCAACCAGTCGCGAAAGTTTTCCAAAACCCACATAATTTAGAAAAAAACCGTTTATGATGCGAGTTCCACGCGCAATTCACACTTAAAGTTCAGTTGCAGAGCTTCTCAAACAATAATTTTTTTCGGGTACGCTTGTCAAGTATTTTTTAAATTAATTTACCTCTTCTATGTAAAGAATTTGTTTCATTTCAACACCTATTCGGTACAAAATAAGTACTTACAGGATAATTACAACCAAAAAACCACCTAAGGGAGAAAGTTATTGTAATTTATTGTCATAAAATTAGCACCCATTATCTTGGACAAATCCGGAAGTATCGAAATGAAGATTATAACATCTGTAACTTTGATACATCGCGGGTTAACTTTGGACAAAGCGTCAAACAAGAGGGAAGTAGACTGTGGATTCTTATAGGAATGCGATTAACCGAGGTTTATCCTCTGGATTAATGCCTGAAACAAGGACGAGTTCATTGAAGGTGCAGAAAAAACTTCCTGTCAAAAAAAATCTGCAGGTTATCACAGATTGAGACGTTTCTGAAGCTAGGGTATACAAAACCAATTAATATCAAACCAGTCTTCCACAAAAAACAACGAAGCTATAATCGTTAAATGAATATGATAATCGTAATAATTACAATTCGATTGTATCGAAAGCCAGTGTGTAATCAAACCTCGAATCAAACGTTATATCAATCAGTCGTCGAAAATTAAAAAAGTTTACTTTTGAACTTCAGGTTGCAACCTTGTGTAAGCTCAAAAGGGCACGTTCAGTAATCAGTATAAACACCAATAGAAAATTTACATGTAACTAATCTTCACAACTCGTAGGCCAGATATAATTTATAAAGGGGTAGAATTAGAGGTACCGCGGAAAACATCTGCACGATCTCGGGCGGCGAAGCAAAAAACTATTGTAATAAGAAATCTATAACACTTGGATGTCCTCTAGTGGCAAAAATAAAGCACTAAGTAAAAGAACTCTACTACAAGAATAATTTACATTTTTAAACTAGATTATAAAGGAAATACCTAGATGGCGTAAGAAGACCAAATATACACAAGAGTAAGAATCAAAAAGTTACTTAAATGAAATTTAAAGCAGGAATATCAATATCAAAAACGTAAAACATTCTTACACCCATTCACCAATAACAAGTAAGATTGCTTGTTTAAACAAATGAATTTATGGTATATGGTATGTTAAAATCTTAAAATTTCGTCAAAATTAATAAGATCTTTAGTGATTTACAGCTCAAACAATCACTAATAAGGTTCTTGTATTTTCTTCAACTTTCCTTTAATTTTACCTGAAATGGTTTCTCTAATCCTTTTCAAGTTCCTCTAAAATTCCTTTCGTACTCCCTGGATTTCTCAATTTCCTCGTAAGACGCTTTACTCTGTCTTCCAGTTTTTCTTCAGTTTTCACCAAATTTCTTTCATATTCTTCTCAAAGTGCTATTAAGTTTTTCCTAAAATCCATTTTCCTTTTAAGTTTCTCTTTACATTTTCCTCCAGAGCCTCCTTATGTACGAGTATATACAACATGGATTAAATGGTATAACTTAAATCTGTGGTATAACTACTTCCTCCTAAGAAGTTGTAAGTTGACAATTGGTGCAAAGACTTAGATCATAGTGCAAAGATAAGACATGACGTTTGCATCATAATGGGTTACCTTAGTTACCTTTTTACTTGAAACGTTAATATCCTTTAAAATTGGGGTAATTATTGGCCTTTTAAACACCATATTCTAACTCGCTTTAATTAATTTGTAAAATTAAGAATCAGATTCGCGCTTTGTACTCTTCATCTTATTTGTGTGACCTTAAAATGTATGCCGCCAATAGCCTTAATTCAGTATTTCGCCCCATTGCAAAAAGGTCGATTGCCCTTAATCAATAGATCAGAAATGTATTCAACATTTCCAGTAGACCAAAAAATTAATTTGATGAAAATATGATTGTCATTTAAGGATTATGGCCCCAAAAGTTCTAAACTTGAGTTACTTCCACCTAGGTTGTGTAAGCATTCCGTTTAGAATGTTGCAATTATCTTTCCAACATTCCTGCTGGATAACATCGAGTGCTCCCAATTATTGAAAACTAAAATCAAATTCCCTACTGAGATTATTAACCTCTACAATCCTAAGATCTATTGACGTTATTTATAGTCATCATAAAATATATCTCTCAAATTTAGCATAAATTGAATACCATATTTTAGTGTTGCCTGTCTGACAAATTACACCACCAGATTATAGTTTACTATAAAATCGAAATGTATCGGTAATTTTCACAATATAATAAATCTCATCCCTTAAGTGGGACGTTCATTATTATTTCCCAACAATCGAATTTTCCCTCTTAATTGGTACGTACTGGATATACCCACTACAAAATTCATATTCGTATTGCTGCGAATTTTAATCTGTTTCCGATAATTAAATACGGCGTCGATTCGAAAGGTGTGTCACTAGGTATCAATTTGAAGGGAGCAACTTATGTAATGTTTAGCAACGCGCTACTGTCATTTACAACAGTGTAAACTGTCATTATTCATGTTCAATAAGGAATGTGATAAATAACGGACGTCCTTTGGGCATTCATCAAGAACGTCAAATTCAAAATTACGTTTCAAGCTGGCCATTGTTGGAGGAGGCGGCGCGAGTGAAATATAAAGTTAAATGACGGCAATTTTAGAAAATGACAAAGGACTTGTCGCAGATGTGCAATTTTAAATAGATTAATTGTAATAAAATAAAGAAATTGTACGTGTGCATGCGCAATTAGGGTAATAGGGGGTGCTAGCTGGTGGCGACGGTTGCGGCGTTTCGGTCAACTAACATAGCATGTATTGACCCGACGAGGGTGACGACGACATCCCTTTCGTTTCTGCTCATTCTGCGTCGATTTTCTGCAGTAACAGGCAGCGGAGCGAAAGCACACGAATACGTACCTTTATATTTTGGTACATAATTCTAATACGGATAATATAGCTTTTTTGAGGGGAAACGCGTGGGCGAATTTATTGAAACTTCACAATTTTTACGCAAGATTTGGAAGCAACAAACAGCCGTCTTGCATAATTCATACTTGTGTTACACGATTGAATTGATTTCACCGATTCAATTTGAAAGTCGTTTACCATTATTATTCTACTAGTGGCTTGCGTTTTACTGAATTTGCAAATATTTTCCATTTTCGATACCTGCACGAAATTGCCGTTCTTTATATCCCTAGCGACATTTTAATTGTAATGTTATCTCGAAATTTAGATGTGTGGTGTGGTGCAAGCACTCGCCCCCGTACTGACAATTTTCAATTAATCTCTATCGACAGGGAGTCATTA